ATTTCCCTTAATTTGATTGTTTTGTTAAATGGAAATTAAGAATATAGAACAATTTGCCTTAGTTAGGTACACTTTGACACCTGGACCATAAAAGTGGTACATGTATCATGTTTTTTCTGAAGGTAAGTAAGGTGCTAGAAGCAAATTTGGGCCATTGTTTGATTTAATATGGTTTAGTATGACTCACATATGAGTCATAGCAAGTGTCTAGTATATGGGATTAATAATAAAGGAAGATTGTTATGCTGATTATCTTACCATTTCTTCTTTACAATCTGAAGGGCCAGCTGGCCCTGCTGAAGAAAATCTTCCATGTCATCCATGTTTATATTGTTGAGGGACTAAAAAAATAAAATAGCTATGAACTTTCAAGGAGGAGTGTCTTCCAACATTGCAACTTTTGGCATTGGCAAGGAAGGTAATCTCTCAACTACTGCAAAAGATGTTTGCTTCTTTTCCCTGCCAATATCTTGTATATTGTTTTCATTCGTCTGTCAAGTGCATATTGCACTTTCATTGTGATTGTATGGTTGAAAGGGTAAGTGCTATAGTATGTATGTTTGATAAGTGCAGTTTACAGGAAATGGTAAATAATGTATGATAAAGTTTACTCTAAAATATGAAAACCTACCTGAAAAACATCCCATCAGGACTGGCCTGGTAGAGGTTGGTGCTAGAAAAAAAAACTCACTTTCATGGCTGTTTAGGCCAAACTTTGATATCACTGAAGAAAGAAAGAAAGATTTTTACTAAATTCCCAAAGATAAGATGCTTCATTCTCTTCAGTGTACACCATCTATTGTGTACAAGGAATCAGCATTGGGATAATTGATTTACCTCTTCTGCCACTCCCACTCTCCATACATGCCGTCCAGTAATACAGCTCAACTGATGTTGTCTGAAACATGTTACAAATTCTGCAGATAGTTAAAAATAGAAACAAAAAGGATTACCTTTGGGGATTTGTTGACAAATAGTGTAGGGATTATCCTCACTTTGATAACCCAAGTATGCAATTTGATATGAATTGGAAGATTCTAAATCATGTGCGTACTCTAATTGGTGAAGTGTCATGTCATGTTTAGTAACATAACGCTTTGATTTGTGGAAATGGCTGATATAAGACCTCCCTCAGCTTCAAACCAAGAATCACTTAACCTTTATTTGAATTTCTAGCACCAGGCAATAGAATTTGAACTTTAAACTATTGCTGTCTTAATAACTACACCGTAGCCATATAGACCCAGGATCCTAATTTTATGACAACAATCAGCAAGCAGCTAACCTTCACACAGGATCAAGATTACTACCCTGTTTTATAACAATTAGTTTACAAATTTTTAAGTCTCTCTTTGAGCACATCTACAAAAAAGCAGGCAGAGAAGTGTTTAATTTAGCAAGATTTCATTTTTTCAGAGAAATCTTCCTTTCCAGCTCTTTAACAGAATTGAAATGTGTTTGTAAGGAGAATTTGATTCGAAATTTATTTGTAATGATACCAGTCCTTGCTGCAAATACTATTAAGAATGGAGGGGGGGGGAAGTGGGGGTTGGGGCTGGATGATTCATTTTTTGGGTATTCCCTAGGTGTTTTGATTGGGTAAGGGCTTAATGAAAACCTTTTGAAAGCCAAATCACTGAAATTTAAGTCTTATTTCTTCTGTTCCCTCTCCCAGTGAAAGGAAAACTGGAGCATTACCTGGCGTTTTGTGTAGTTTCACTCAAATACCTGGTATGCTTAGGGTAGAGAGCCCCTATAACCACATTAGTAGCCACTCTAATGTGCACAATAGGTTTTGTAATTATGGTGTAGCACTTTTCTGTGGCGACATGCAAAGGAAGTAGATAAAAAACGTACATGTATGGAACCTTTCACACATATCTTATATTTCCTCAGGCTATAATAGTCAATACAAACCTTATCAAAGGTGAGATTTAAAAAGACTTGTAGGGGCTCCAACCTAGCATAGTTGTCATAAAGCTCCCTCTCACATAGGAGCATCTCCTCCACCCTGTCCAGTCTTCTTCATGTCACTGAGGAAGCAAATAACCAACACAAATGAATTCGTTAAGGGGTAAAGATCAAAGAAAGACATAAAGCTTCAGTGGTCCTCAATTTCTTTATGAATACTTGACCCAAATCTACAACTAAAGGGTGCAAAGGAAGTTATGTATGATGGCCTGGGAACGGTGGATTTTCTGATCAGGCTGATGGATTCTTACTGTCACTTTCCCAATGGATAGGCAGTTTTTTTCAAGATTCATTTAACTCACAAAAATTTTGGCCAGTAAAAATGACTTAAGGGCTAGTATATGCTAGTCACAGCTTGCCCTTCAGGGTGAACAGTAATGCTTACTCTCTTTCCAATCTGAACTACCCAAAAAGAACAAAGCCTGGGAAGCCATTGTAAAAAACCTGTGTTGAGCAAATCCTGTCTGTTTAGGGCTTTCACCCTACTATTTATGTGTTTCCTTAGAAATGCAACATTTACTGTTAGTCTAGGTTTTAGCAAGTAAGTTGCATCTAAGTAACTATAATTTGATAATTTTTTTAAACACATTTGGTTCCATTTTTGTGGAAATCATGTCTGGAAACACAGTTTTCCACCCCTTGTGTGTATCTAATCTACCTTTCCAATTAACAGTACCTTTTCCATGGTTTTGACAAACAGCTCCCAATAGGCTGAGGTCTTCTTGAAGGACACCAACTACATTTAAATGTTTTCCCATTAAAACATTGAATTTGACCATTATTGATGTATTGTAAAGTAAATAATTGTCACCAAAAACCCAGTGCAGCAATCAATTATAGTAAAGATGATGTACTAATAAAAACTAACATATTCATACTAATCCACGATTCAAGTCTGATGGTTAATAAGGTATACATACATAACCATAGTACAATTTATCTCCAATCATAATCTTCACAATAATTAATTATTAATCTTAACCAATCAATGGCAAGATATCACAGTTTTTACCTGTTTGAAGGGCATCTGCTTTGACTGAAAAAATAAATGGCAAGAGTGTTAAAATTGTAAATTTTCTTAGAACATAAAGAATAAAAAACAAATAATGTCAACGACCCAGATGAGTGGGTTGTTGTATCAACTGGTAATACCTTCGGGTTGATCATCTGCAATCCAACAATTTCAGGCAAATCACTATCTGTTGAAATGTTTGAACATCAGTACTAATAAAAATTGCTACTGACAGTTAAACAGGGAAACAATCACAACCATTACAGGTTGTTTAGTTTGATGTGATGTTTCAGTTAGGGATGTTTTAACAAGTTCTTGGTATCAGACCATGAGCATCATAGTTTTAATGAATCATTCATGACCCAGAATATGTTAGAGGATTAAATTTAACCAGCTGCAGCCTCAAGATGTATACACCCACTTACCTTCATGCACGATTGCTGCAGTTGGCTATAATCTCTCATGATAATAAACATAAATATTGTTAAGGTGTGTGCTGGATATCACTAATTAAAGAACTGCCATTCAAATCAACTGTGCATGTATTTCTTCAGTACTGTTGTTTGTTTTGTCCCATGTAGTGTATAGAAAGAAAAAATTACTTACCTCCAATTTTTAAAGTGGATGATGTGGTGGATTGGGCCTATGAAAGGGTCTGGTTTGATTGGGCTGATAGAAGGTTGAGGTTGGGTTGGGCCAGTGGAGGGGTGGGGTTGGGGTTGGGGTTTAGAGTTAGGGTTAGGGTTGAGCTAGTGGAGGAGCAAAGCTGGGTTGGGATGATTGAGGAGTGGGGTTAGGTTGGGCAAATGGCAGGGTGGGGTTAGGTTGGGCTAGTGGAGGATTGGGGCTAGGATGGGCCAGTAGAATGGTGGGCTTAGGTTGGGCTAGTGGAGGGTTGAGGTTAGTTTGGGCTGGTGGAAGAGTGGGGTTAAATTGGGCAAGTGGAGGAGCAGGGTTCATTGGGGCTAGTGGAGGATTAGGGTTAAGTTGGGCAAGTGGAATGGCGGGGTTATGTTGGGTTAATGGAGGGGTGTGGTTAGTTTGGGCAAGTGGAATGGGGGAATTAGGTTGGGTTAGTGGAGGAGTGGGGTTAGTTTGGGCTAGTGGAGGAATAAGATTAGGTTGGGTCGATGAAGGGATTGGAGTTGATACTATGGATGTCCAGATATTTGAGGCTGAAATCAAGAATGAGATTCTCATCACAAGGGGTCAATCACATATTGCTACTAGGGGATATTTTTCTTAATATAATTGTGAATTTCTGTCTGATAGCCTTCAATGTGGTTTTTGATTGCTTCAATAGTTTACATAAATAGAAACATATTTCCTTTGAAAGTTTTAATTTTTTTAATGGTGAGAGAGTAAGAACAGTGCACAAATGCAACTTGCTAAAAATTCAAAGCAAGAAAACATCTGCACTGGTTTGCCTTGGGGCTTTTGTCTATTGGTAACCAGTAAAGTATTTTGAGATTTGGGATATAAAGTGTAGATGGGCTTCAAACTCCACAATTGGCCAATTCTGAGGACATATGTTAACAGTAAAGAACTATTACATGTGATGAAAAAAAATTTTGGAAATGGGGGAGAGACAACTTCCATGGCGTGAAGTGGAGGACACGAGACCAAAAAAGTTTCAGTGGAATGAAGAGGGCTGAGAAAGAAAGACATTATGCTAATCA